CAAAGTCACTGCTTTCAGCTTTTCTCCATGAAAATGATTTAAATATAAAAGTGTTATACTTGTATGTATTGAGCAATTCAGCTAGTCTTTGGTGATGTTATATAGTTTACCCAAAATAATCCAACCAAAAAAGAGTTAAATTTCTTTTATCAAGGTTCACTAAAAATTGGAAGTTCTATCTTTGGGGGGTTGCTGTGTCAGAAGAAATGAAATTGAACACAGTGGGTGAGTAACATGTTTTACCCACACAATGTCATGGCAGGAGCCTGAGGTTTTCTCTTTTGGGGACCTCTTAATAAAACAAGAGATATGTGATAAATATTTTTAAAAATAAATAATACCTTTGAAAAGCAGTTGATACAGCATGAGGTCCTATGGGGAAAAGCCACATCTGAGTTCCACTGTTTTCCCATAGCAGGCATTTATATTAAAACATGTAGGAGATAGAGTGCGAAATAGACATTTACAATCAATGTCTTTGTCTAATGAAGTTGCAAACACAATCATGATCAAACTTGCCTGTTTTTTACATTCAATAAAAATCAGTTTCAAAAATATTTGCAGTATGACTCATGAAATTAGAGTTAACAGAGAATGGTAGCAGAGGGACTATAATCATTAACATATGTGTTATCTGAGTGTGTGGGAGGATGGTTTTTAAAAATACATTAAAAATAATGAAAATTTACAATTTTCCCAAATCTTAAATATTTTATAATTGCCTATTCCTGTCCCAAAGCACACACAGAAGCCGCAGCTAATTTAAGAATATGTGGCACTAGGGATCTTCCCCTTCCTGTTTGGCAAATATGTACAGTGAATTTTAAGCTTTGATATCTTAATTATTTCCTCTACTTGATCAAATGTACATAAAAATGTTTTGTTTGAGTTTTTATTGTATATTCATTACTGATTATCAGAAATAATTCAAAGAGATCTCATCTACCTTTCCGTGAAATAGCATCTTGCAAAGATAACACAGCTAAGGCATCGATAATAATATATATCTCACCAATCTTATTTGGGTTTCATCAGTTTTACATGTATTTGTGTGTGTATGTGTGTTTACTTCCATGCATTGTTATTACATGCATAGGTTCATTTTTCCATCACCACTGTCAAGACAGAACACTGACATGACTACAGGTGTTCCTTGTTTTGTTCTTTTATAACCAAATTCATTTCCCTACTACTCCCTTCTGCCCCTTAATATTTTTATCCTTTGCTAACTACTGATCTCTTCCTCATCTCTATAATGTTATCTGAAGACTCTGTATACATGTACTTTGTCACAATTATTATAGAGAGTTTTTGACTGTATCACTTTGTATGCTTTCTTAGTAGTTTTTCCAGGTGCATGAGTGGACAATTTTGGTCTGCTAGTACAATGTTTTACCACTTCAAGTAAAGTTTGGAAACTGTATTTCTATTAGGTCCCTTTGCCCTACTCATTGTTTACTCCTCTTGAGTATTCTTCCTATATATGTTGAGCACAGCATCAGTTGCTATTATAATTTTGTTTCAATTATTACATAATGAAGAAAACTCAAGAGGAATAGAGTAGTTAATATTATATTTCTCAATATTTTTATTCTTTCAAGTTGCCTTCCTTCTTGATGCTCCAAGAGTCCTTATTTTCTATTTGAATAAATTTTCTTTAACTTTCTCTTACGACAAATCTACTGAAATCATGTGTTCTTAGTTTTCTTTCTTTTAACTTTCTCTACATTTGACTATCTACTAACATTCACATGGGTAGAGCTAACCAAATTTTACCTTCCAGTGGATTTTCAATGCTATACTCTACCCTAAATCTAGGCCTAAATAAAAGGTTTTAAGCCCTCCTCCCCCCTCAAAAAAGAATATATTTATTTCTCCTTAATTCCTAAAGGTTAGTTTCACTGGATAAAAATCCATCAGTGACAGTTTTTTTTTTTTCTTTTGAAAAATGTGCCACTTCTGGCCTCCATTATTTCAAATAGGAAACTTATTGTCATCTGAATTGGTCTTCTCTGAGTAACATGTCTTTATCTCTGGTTGCTTTCTAAGCAGCAATTTCTTTCTTTGTCTTTGGTTTTAGATGTTTAATTTTTTATCTATCTGGACACGGATCTTTCTGGGCTTATCGTTTTTAATGTTTGCTTGTCTTTTTGATTCTGTAATTTATTTATTCTGCCAAATCTGCAGAAGTCTTCAACCATTACTTACTTCTTCAGATACCATTTCAGTCCCTCTTTCTCTTCATTTGGAACTGTCATGATTCCAATGTTGGACATTTTGTTATTGTCCCATAGGTCCCTAACATTTTCTTCTTTTTTTAATCTTTTTTTTGGTTCAGATTGAGTGAATTCTATTGCTCTGTCCTTGAGTTTGCTTATTCTGTATTCTTTAATCTTCACTGTACTACTGAGCCAATGCAGCAAGTTTTGATTTCTATAATTTTCATTCTGTTCTTTTTTATAACTCTTTTTTCTTTGCTATTTTTCTATTTTTATTTGTGTATAATTAGTAATTGCTTATTAAAGTATTTTTTCATGATGGCTTCTTTAATTCTTTGTCAGATAGTTTCAATATCTCAGTGTTGGCACATGCTGATTATGTTTCTTATTCAAGTTATAATTTTTCCAATATTTGGTGTGAGTAGATATTTATTATTATTACTATTATTATATCCAGGTCATTTGGGCTATTATGTTTGGACATTCTAGACTCTATTTAAATTTTCTATTCTTGAAGGCAGTCATTTATTTAGGTTTAGCACACAGGTCATAGCATACATTTGCCAACTATGGTTCCATCCATTTGTCATGACCTTTGTAGTTTTATGTGGTCAGCTTGAGTTGTTCAGTTCCACTGGAAATTGCACTGATGTCTACTGGTGCCACCTAAGAGGGCAAAGGTGATTCCCCAAGTCAGGCACATGGTGGCTCTCAGTTCTGTAAGTAATCCTCTGGTTTATCAGAAGATTATATCTGGTTCTGGATTGTAGAAGGATTACCCTGCTGCTTTTGCTGCCCACTGAGTCATTGTCTCTAGGTTGTGAAGGAAGTCCCCTGCCCACTGGGGACAAAGGTCATTTTCCATAGACACTTGTTCTCAGTGATGCTCCCACTTGATTCCCCTTACTGGTGATGTTGCTGATGGGACTTCCATTAGGTCAGCAATGAAACTGAGTCTACCTCAGCCACTTTCTGTTGCTAGGTTATAGTTGGCAGAAGCCAGGTCTTCACTACCTTTTATTGTTGTCGGAGGAGCTTCCATGTTGTTCCTTAGACCCTGCTGTTCCTGACCTGTTCTCCTTTTTCTTTCTGTCTTTTAGAGTAATCCTTCAGTTGCCTCTTGCTTAATCCATGTTGTATAGCTGTGCATAGTGAAATATATAATGATGTTTAAACTTTTTAATATCTTTTTCTAAAATAAAATTAGAAGAAATTATTCTAATGGGATCAAGGAAAATTTTAATATCCTGCACCTTACAAGTACTTTTCAGCTGAATGTCAGCTCTTGTTTGAATGAAGTTCAACATGTATCTATACTGTGGAGAGCTTTTAATATACTTGTGTTCACTGTTGGTCTCTTGGTAAAAATGCAACAGTCATAATTTTTCCAAATTTATATGCCCCAAAAAGTGACCCCTTCTGTTTATAGTTTCTCTTGACACTAGCATTTCATGAAAGGCTTTGTGGAGACAAGCCATTTTTATCATCATCATCTACTCATACAAAATAATATACTAGGTGTGATGATTTAAATAAAACATTTTTCTGAGAACTTTAAGGATCACCTAATTCTACTTTGATTTTTTAAAACTCTTATAAAATATACTTATTTATTTTTATTATTTTAAAAATATTTTATTTTATCATATTTTTATTACCATTTATCCCCCATATCTTCTTCCACCTTCACCCACTCCCTCTGCTCCACAATCACTACACTGTTGTCCGTGTCCAGAAGTCCCTTCTCTTTTTCACTTAGTTCCTCCACCACCCAATTTCTCCCAACAGCTGTCATCCAGATGTCTATCTGCGAGAGTCTGTCTCTATTTTGCTTGTTAGTACAGTTTGTTCATTAGATCCCATCATATAGGTAAAATCTTCCTCTGGCCAAGTAGTATTCCATTGTATAAATGTACCATAGCTGTTTTTTTAAATACATTTTATTGACTATGCTATTATACTTGTCCCATTCCCTCTTTTGTTCCCTTCCACCCTGCACACCCCCTCCCTCTCAGATCCCCCCACTTAGTTCATGTCCATGGGTCGTACATGTAAGTTCTTTGGCTTCTACATTTCCTATACTATTCTTAACCTCCCCCTGTCTATTTTTTACCTATCCTATAGCTGTTTTATTTAGTCATCTGCAAATGAACACTTGGGCTGCTTCCAGAGCTTGGCTATTGTAAATAGCACTACAAGGAACATAGAGGTGCATATATTCTTTTGGGTTAGTGTTTAGGATTTCTTTGGATAAATTTCATGAAGTGGAATCATTAGATCAAAAAACAGTTTGATTTTTAATTTTTTTGAGGCAACTCTAAACTGCTTTTTACAGTGACTACAGCAATCTGCGTTCTAACCAACATTACAGTTGGGTTTCCTTTTTCCCCATCCTCATCAGCACTTGTTGTTTGTTGATTTATTGATGATAGTTATTCTGAGAGGTGTAAGTTGATATCTCATGTGGTTTTAATTTTCATCTCTCTGATCAGCGATGCTGGGCATCTTTTCATATATCTATTGGCCATCTATTTGGAGAATAGTGTATTCATGTCTTTTGCCCACTTTTTAATTAGATTGTTTGTTTTTTGGTGTTGAGTCTTACAAGGTCTTTATAAAATTAAGATATTTACCTTATTTAAACTGTCTTTTAAACTGTTTTAGAAAATATTCAGATGTATAGCCAAAAATGTTTATTATGTTGTGCTAAAAACACACAGTCTAACAGTATTGACTTTTTCTAATGTTGTTATCCACATTTTCAATGTTTTCTCTTTCCAGCTTTAAGGGACAATAGGATCGAGCTGGTTCGGGCTTCTTGGCATGAACTGAGTATCAGTGTCAGTGATGTGTCTCTCTCTGATGAAGGACAATATACCTGTTCATTATTTACGATGCCTGTCAAAACTTCCAAGGCCTATCTCACTGTTCTCGGTAAGTTCAAGAGATAAACACAATGCAATCACAAAGGCAGAGAGATGTGTACTACTAAGGCAATGTGATTCAAAAACACATATATATTTTAAGGATCATAATAATAGATGTAGTTTAGCCCCTTCTCTGTATAACAAAAAATTTTAATTACTTTCCTCATTTTATAAATAGACAAAGGGAGACATAAAAATTTCTATGACTTCTGACAGCACAGAGCCACTTAATTTTTAGCCAGCAATAAACACCAGGTTTCTTGTATTTCAGTTAAATTATTTTGTATCAACTCATCTATGTATTGTGTATGTGGTGATTCCTTCATAAAGTGATGGAATAATGAGTGTAATGAATTCAACATTTGTACTGGGTGCTCCTCCATTTTATCATATCAGCCATCTGATAGAGACCTTCTCTAATATGTTATGGCTTTCATATGTGACCCCTTTGTGTATTTCAGTGCATTTAAATGGCCTTGGCATTTCTATGTGTCTTCTCACCTTTTAAATGTGACACTTTCTAGATTTTTAAATGAAGTACATAATGCCACTTGTGCATGCAGCTTGTAGCTTCTTTGTTCTTCTGTTCTCTAAATATTGAGCCATTTTTCAAAAGGTTAAAGTGACACAAAAAAGCAATACATTCATAGAGATTCTAAGGAAGTATAGTTGCATCTCAGAGCTTTTTGTGATTCCACAACTGTTAGTGACCCAGTCAGCTGAAATTGCTGCAGTTTACTAAAACATACCTTTGTACTGAACAAGTTAGAGGAATTTCAAGAAGAATATTTTTTGCCCTTGTTTGCATTTTTATTTTGATACTTAAAGTCCTAACATTACCTTTAAAATAACTAACACATGCTGTTATTTTTTTTGGGGGGGTGGAGATATAAAAGTTAATCCAGCTAATGAATTGGTTTTGTACATAGGATAAGAAACATATTTCTTTGCAAGTCCCACTGAGACTATTTTATCAGAAATCTTCGCAAGTTTGCCATTAAGGATAAAATATAGCCATTAAAATTTAGTATTTCAGGACAACAACTGAAGAAAGTTAATGTGTTGTTCTGTAGAGAGCCACCTTGAGACACCAAAAATAGGCAACTGGCTGGTTTCAATTTGTTAAACGATGGTGTGATATAGATTTTCTTTTAAAAGGCAATATGGAGGTGAACAAAACTAGCCCACTAATTGGGCTAGTATGTTGATCTATCATTTATCTTTGTTGTTATTGTTTAAATGTGTATTTTTCTTATTGTTGCTTTGCAACATGCTTACCTTTTATTCTTTTAAAACTGAATTAAATACTATGATAAAGAAGCTTCCAGTCTGCCTTTATTATGGAATAATTTAGAAGAAATTTTAGTAAACTTCTACTATGATAAGAGATTATTAATGCCCAAGAAATATGGAATGTTCTGTTATTTAAATTACCCATGTACTATCTATTGCTTCATATTAGTTATCTACTTATTGATTACATGGTTTGGACTAGAAGGGTCAATGAGTGGTTAGCATTAATACCAGTACACATCATGCTCCACAAAACTACAATTGCATTTCTAATACAAATTGTATCAAAAGACATTCTCCACTTTAGAAAAATCAGGAAAGTAAGTATGGTTGCACTTACTGATGAGACTTTTGATGGATTTTCTTGAACAAAATGCCTTTTCTTGAATAGAGTACACAGAAGTTAATGTCGTTTTTAAGCTTTAGAATTATGAAATCAGAAATGAAAGGTGCTATTTAAGTTTAATCATAATTTGCAAAAGAACAAAAAATGTGCTTTGTGAATGTCCTTCCCAATTCAAAGAATGTACATTCTTAAATCCCTATACTATTATATCTGAAAATATATTAAATGGTTGTCTTTAAGATTTACAAAGAGTATATTTTTATATGTAAAATTTAACTTAAAACACTACTTTGAACTAAGTATACAATATACTTGTATACACATGCATAATCAATATATGCACATATATATTATATCTATATATTATAAGCAGCTTATTTTATTTTATAGTTTATTATTATTATTTTTATTATTAGTTTTATTTATTTATTTCAATCAATGTATGGTTGCCTTTAGTGTGTCCCCTGCTGGGAACTGGGCTGCAGGGAACTGGCCTGCAATCCAGGCATGTGCCCTGACTGGGAATTGAACCACGATCCTCTGGTTTGTAGGCCTGAGCTCAATCCACTGAACTACACCAGCCAGGGCAGTAGCTTATTATTTTTTATTGAATTTATTGTCAACTAACCACCCAGTTTACTTTTGTTTATAAAAGTAATAGTCACAGGAATGAACAAACCTTGGGGACTGATTTTCACATCATTCATTTGTTTATATTTCAGGTGTTCCTGAAAAGCCTCAGATCAGTGGGTTTTCATCACCAGTTATGGAGGGAGACCTGATGCAGCTGACTTGTAAAACATCTGGCAGTAAACCTGCAGCTGATATCAGATGGTTCAAGAATGACAAAGAGATTAAAGGTAAAGTGTGGGAAAAGTTCTCCAAATGAAAATTAATGTGTGCAAAAGTAGTTTGAAAAGTTAGATCCACTTTGCACTCACTTTTTCAAATCACGGTCATTTTCTGAGTGTAATTTGAACCAAATTTACCCATTTCCTGAATTAGGTAGTTTTACAATATATTTTAACATAAGATGTGTGCCCCATTTCCTCTTATGTAAAACTGTGAGGTGACTTCTTTGCCGGCCCCCCCCCCCCACCGTGCCATGGACACAAATGAGCAAATATGGCCTAGACAAGATAAGATCTGTTTGGGAAGGAGGAGTGGGCTGTGGCCAGTTTCTCCGAGGAGAAAAAGGCCCCGAGCCCCCTCCTCCATAGCCTTTTATTGGGTTGTAATACACAGAAATACAGGGTGGCAAAGATCAAATAGTAGAATACATTTCAAAGAGATCTGAGGGCTACAGAGTCTGAGTCAGTGTCTGTCAGGAAGAGAGTTGCAGAAACTTTGGGAAACATACTCATTTCCTCTCGGACCCTTATCATACGAATGAAAGCACTCTTAGCATAGCAGATTTCACAGGTTTATCAGCAAATCTTTGTGATGCCAGATTTTTCCCCAGGATACACTCTAGCAAGGCAAGGAGCTGCACCCCTCCCCATCAGGTATTCAGGCCTAAGGGGATTAGAGCCAGGAAGAGCTTCTCCCAGAGGACATGGGGACTCGGGCTTTGTTAAAGCTGGGGTGGGGGCCAGAGTCCATTGCTCTTTGTTGCAGCCCACTGAGTCCTTCCATGAAGGCCTCCCAAGTGATTGAGTCTGGCTTAGGTTGCCCACCCCCCTGCTGTGAGGGGGTCTTACCCCTCATTGACTTCCCACCAAGCTCTGGGGGCAGGGAGAGGAAACTGAGGCAGTGTTTGCTACCAGAGACAAGCTTTGTCTCCTGTGGCTGGCATTCCAAAGATTGTCCCTTGCCCGCCCTTAGCCACAAGGGGTAGAGATACAATTCCTAAAATCAGACAGAGCGGTCTACAACATAAAACAAGTCTGAAATAATATATAACTCATGGAAAAGTTGGAGAAATAAATGAATCAATATATTACAAAACATGAGTTAATATTATAAAAACACCTAGATTTGTGACTGGCAATAGCAAACACCAACTATAAGTTAGATATTATCTCAGAACTCATCTATAGTATTTTGATTATAGACAGAGAAATTTCCTGAATTATTTTTTAAATTTGTTGGTTTCTGACATTACAAAGTTTGTACAATAATGTCGACTAAATACCAATAAGCCTGTATCCTAGTAAATCTCACAGAGGGCAAATACAGTGTACTCATCTCAGCAAAAATGCACAAGACAGACATAACTCAGAGACATTGTGGGTTCGGATCCAGACTACAACAAAGCTAATATCACAATAAACCAAGTCACACATTTTGTTTCCCAGTGCATATAAAAGTTATGTTTACATTAGACTGTAGACTATTAAGTGTGCAATAATATCATATCCAAGAAAAAACATATATATTTTATTAACACATTCTTTATCTCTAAAAAATGCTAGTCATCATCTAAGCCTTCAGTAAGTTGTCATCTTTTTGCTGGTGGAAAGTACTGCCTCATTCTTGATGGCTTGATGGGGTGGTTGCTGAAGATTGAGCGGCTATGGTAATTTCTTAAAATAGGACAACAGTGATCTTTTCTGCACCAGTTGACTTTTCCTTTCACAAACAATTTCTCTGTAGCATGTGGTGTTATTTTGATAGTATTTACACACAGTAGAACTTTTTTCAAAATTGGAATCAATCTTCTCAAAATCTGCTGCTGTTTTATCATGTAAGTTTATGTAATTTCTAAAACCTTTGTTGTCATTTCAACAATTGTCACAGCATCTTCATCAGGAGTAAATTCTATTTCAGAAAAACACTTTCTTTGCTCATCCATAAAAAGCAACTTCCCATCCATTGAGGTTTTTTTTTTTTTTTCAGGAGATTGCAGCAATTCAGTCACATCTTCAGGTTTCACTTTGATTCTACTGCTATTTGCTATTTGCACTCTCTTGCTATTTGCACTATATCCACAGTTACTTCCTCCACTGAAGTCTTAAACCCCTCAAATTAATCCATGAGGGTTGTAATCAACTTCCAAATTATTGTCAATGTTGGTATTTTGACATCTTCCTATGAATCATAAATGTTCTTAATAGCATCTAGAATGGTGAATATTTTCCAGAAGCTTTTTAACTGAGTTTTCCAAGATCCATCAGAGGAATCAATATCTATGGAAGCTGTAGCTCTACAAAATGTATTTTTTAAATGATAAGATTTGAAAGTTAAAATTATTCTTTGGTCCATGGGTTGCAATACCTTATTGTTCAGTTAGCAGCATGAATTTCATATATATCCATCAAAGTTCTTGGGTGACCAGGTGCATTGTCAACAAGCAGCCATGATTTTTAGGAATTTTTTTTCCTGAGCAGTATGTTTTAACAGTGGGCTTAATATATTTAGTAAAGCATATCATAAACAGATGTGCTGTCATCCAGACTTTGTTGTTCTATTTATAGAGCACAGACAGTACATTTAGCATAATTCTTAAGGGCCTAAGATTTTTTAAGTGATAAATGAGCATTGGCTTCGCCTTAAAGTCAACAGCTGCATTAGCCCCTAACAAGGGAGTCATCAAGTCCTTTGAAGCATTGAAGGCAGGCATTGACTTCTATCTGTAAAAATTTTCCAATATGAGGCTATTTTGTCAACAATGAAAATCTGTTTTTAGTGTAGCCATCTTCTTTGATGATCTAAGCTAGATCTTCTCGATAACTTGCCTCAACTTCTATATCAGCACTTGCTGCTTCAACTCTCACTTTTACGTAATGGATATTGGCTATTTTCTCAAACCTCATGAGCCATCCATTTGAGCTTTTCTTCTTCAATGTTATCACCTGTCTCAGCCTTCATAGAATTGAAAAGAGTTAGGGTCTTGTCCTGGATTAGACTTTAACTTAAGGAAATGTGGCGGGTTTGATCTTTTATCCAGACCACTAAACCTATCTCCATATCAGCAATAAAGCTGTTTTGTTTTCTTATCATTCATGTGGTCGCTGGAGTAGCTTTTTTAATTTCCTCAAGAACTTTTCCTTTGCATTTACAGCTTGGTGCACTCTTTGATGCAGTAAACCTAGCTTTTTCACCCATCTCAGTTTTGACTTGCATTTCTTATTTAACTTAGTTACTTCTAGCTTTTGAGAAGTGAGGGTTATACAACATTTCATTTTACTTGTGCACTTAGAGGCCATTGCAGCATTATTAACTGGTCTCATTTCAGTATTGCTGTGTCTCATGGAATAAGGAGGCTCAAGGAGAGAAGGAGAGAAGGAGGAGTAGCTGGCTGTTGGAGCCGTCAGAACATAAACTAAAGTTTATTTATTAAGTTCTTCACTAAATGTGACATAGAGACACAAATTGAGTAAATGATGTTGGGAAAATTGTGTGGATAGACTTGGTCCATGCAGGGTTGCCACAAACCTTAAATTTGTAGAAACCACAATACCTGCAAAGAACAATAAAGCAAAGCACAATAAAATGATATATGCCTGTAGACATGTAGACGTGTGTTTACACATACATTCATTTTCAATATTTATTACTTATTGTTATTTAAGTACAGCTGTCTCCACTTTTACCCCTCCATGTCCTCCCACCCCACCCATCCCCACCCTCAATCCTTCCCTCCTTTGGTTCTGTCCATGGCTCCTTTACACATGTTCCTTGATGGCCCCTCCCCTCTTTTCCCCCATTTTCCCTCTCCCACTTACCCTCTGGTTACTGTCAGTTTGTTCTTTATTTCAGTATCTCTGGTTATACATTGCTTGCTTGTTTGTTTTGTTGATTAGGTTCCACTTACAGGTGAGATCTTATGGTATTTGTCTTTCACCACCTGGCTTAATTCATTTAGCATAATGCTCTCCAGTTCCATTCATGCTGTTGAAAAGAGCAAGAGATCCTTTCTTTCTGCTGTGTAGTATTCACACATACCTTCTCTTAAGGGCTACATAAGTTTATAGGGGAGATGACAAGGAAGGTTAGTAATGGTATTTTATACCCCGCATCCAGGTATCTTGAACTTGATATCATATATATATTAAAACCTAAGTATAAGAATTATTTCTGATGATTGTTAAAAGTGTTCCCTATATGCATAGCAATGTCATATTCTCAAAGTGACCTTCTAGGAGAAAGGTTTATACAAGCCATTGTGATTATTTTAATTTATGATTATATTATCTCAGATTTAAAATGATTCTTACTAATAGGCATATAGCCCAACAGATAAGATTGCCTATACTACTTTGGTTTATAATCCATATAGTTATTTAATTTCTTTTCTCTTTTATTTACGCTTTCTGTATTTATCATTCCCCATATTGGATTTACCTGCAATTTATCTTTAATCGGGACCTTTGTTTCAGATCTTCTAATACATTCATTTCATTGGATAAAATTTAGAGAAATATAAGCCCCCAAGACAAAAGTTAGATATCTAGCTATGCAGAGTTAAACTTTCAGGTTATTATATAACTTCATTTTATATTCTGCCATTCAAATCTGCTTTCAGGATATGTTTGCTCTGGCTCACCTGGACCAGCGTAGCTCTTTCCTGAATAAACTCCCTACACGACTTCCAGATTTAACTTACTGTGGCAAGAATCTGATCACGGAACTTTATCTTTTCTTTTTTAATTACATTTAGGGGGTGACAATGGTTAGTAAGGTTAGATGGTTTCAGGTGTACACTTCTATGATGTGTGCTCTGTACATTGCATTGTCTGCTCACCGTTCAGAGTCAAATCATCTTCTACCACCAATACTTGATCCTCTTCACTCTTCACAATTCTTCACCCCTTTCCCTCCGATAAACACCATACTGTTGTCTGTGCCTGTAAATTTGAATTTTAGATTCCACATATGAGTGAGATCATATGGTTCTTAGCTTTTTCTGACTTATTTC